GTAAAAAAAGCAGTGCCCAACGTGGGGCTCGAACCCACGACCCTCAGATTAAAAGTCTCATGCTCTATGGACTGAGCTAGCTGGGCAGACGGCCCCCGTTTATGTTGCGTCACCCCGTCCGTTCATGGTCAAAAAGTTTAGGTCAAAGAATGAAGGAGAGGGAGGCGAAGAAAGATTGGAAAATAATCCGTGTATTATGGGAACAGATCAATAACAAATGCAGCGCCTACCGTTAGGCTCGAACCCACGACCCTGAGATTAGAAGTCTCATGCTCTACCGACTGTGCTAGCCGGGCGGACAGTACCCGTTTCAGTTTGCGTCATCCCGTGCGTTCATGATCAGAAAGCTTAATTCAAAGAGCGAAGGAGAGGAAGGCGAAGAAATATTGGAAAGCAATTCCTGTAACATGGCAACAGATCAGTAAAAAATTCGGCGCCCAACGTGGGGCTCAAACCCACGACCCTGAGATTAAAAGTCTCATGCTCAACCGACTGAGCTAGCCGGGCAGACAGTGCCCGTTTCAGTTTTCGTCATCTCATGCGTTCATGGTCAGAAAGCTTAAGTCACAGAGCGAAAAAGAGGAAGGCGAAGGAAGATTGGAAATCAATCCGTGTAACATGGGAATTAATCAGTAAAAAAATGCAGCGCCCAACTTGGGGCTTGAACCAACGACTCTGAGATTGAAAGTCTTATGCTCTAGCGACTGAGCTAGCCGGGCGGACAGTACCCATTTCAGTTTGCGTCATCCTGTGCGTTCATGATCAGAAAGCTTAAATCAAAGAGCAAAGGAGAGGAAGGCGAAGAAAGATTGGAAAACAATCCGTGTAACATGGAAACAAATCAGTAAAAAAATGCAGCGCCCAAATTACGGTTTCAACCCACGACTCTGAGATTAAAAGGCTCATGCTCTACCAACTGAGCTAGCCGGGCAGACAGCAATCGTTTCAGTTTGCGCCACCCCGTGCGTTCTAGGTGAGAAAGATTAAGTCAAACAGCGAAGGAGAGGAAGGCGTAGATAGATTGGAAAACAATCCGTGTAACATGAGAACAGATCGGTAAAAAAAGCAGTGCCCAACGTTGGGCTCGAACCCACGACCCTCAGAATAAAAGTCTCATGCTCCATGGACTGAGCTAGCTGGGCAGACGGCCCCCGTTTATGTTGCGTCACCCCGTCCGTTCATGGTCAAAAAGTTTAAGTCAAAGAGCGAAGGAGAGGGAGGCAAAGAAAGATTGGAAAACAATCCGTGTACTACGGGAACAGATCAATAAAAATCAGCGCCATATGTTGGGCTCGAACCCACGACATTGAGAAAAAGTCTCATGCTCTACCGACTGAGCTTGCTGGGCGGACAGTGCGCGTTTCAGTTTGCGTCATCCCGTGCGTTCATGGTCAGAAAGCTTAAGTCACAGAGCGAAAAAGAGGAAGGCGAAGGAAGACTGGAAAAGAAACATTGGACAACAATTCGTGTAACATGCAAACAGATAAAAAATGCAGCACCCAACGTGGGGCTTAAACCCACGATGCTGAGATTAAAGTCTCATGCTCTACAGACTTAGCTAGCCGGGCGGACAGTACCCGTTTCCGTTCGCGTCATCTCGTGCGTTCATGGTCAGAAAGCTTAAGTCACAGAGCAAAAGAGAGAAAGTCGAAGGAAGATTGGAAAACAATCCGTGTAACATGGGAACAGATCAGTAAAAAAAAATTGCCCACAGCTTCCCTCGGGGGAACACTGAGGAGGATGCGGAGCATATAATTGGTTAACGGAGTGTTAAAGATCGACTTACTTGGGTCGATGGCTAAATTGGTTAACGTGGTTGTGAAATGGGGTGTTAAATTGCGACTTACTTGGGTCGATGGCTAAATTGGTTAACGTGGTTGTAGGAGGGGGTGTTAAATGAGTGAATACGTACACACGTATGCGAAAGGGCGGCGCTGGTCGAAGGGACGTCGATCATTGTGTTTGTGGATTCGTTGGAATTCATTTCACCGCGACCTTGGACGTCGACGCGTCGTACAAACCGACCGACGAGCGGCAACTGAGCGAGCGAGCGCCGACCTTGAGTATATATACAGCGCGACGGCGCATGCACTGTCAGCTGTCGAATGTTCGAGAAGGGGGAGAAGCGCAACGGCGCATGCGCGCGCGTCAGCTGCCGATGTTCTCGAAGCGCGACGGCGCATGCACGCGCGTCAGCTGCCGATGTTTTCGAAGCGTGACGGCGCATGCGCGCTACATTATACAGCTAGCGAATGTTCGTGAAGAGGAGAAGCGCACGCGGTGTGTAGAGGAGGAAGGGTGCACAGATGGTGGAGGAGTGAAGCGCGCGCGGTGTATAGAAGAGGAAGGGATGCACAGATGGTGGAAGAAGGAGGAGGAAGCTTGCAGACGGCGCCGCACTACAAGCCTCGAGTATTAGATGCTCCGCATCTAAAATGCAGCGCCCAACTTCGGACTTGAACCAACGACTCTGAGATTAAAAGCCTCATGCTCTACAACTGAGCTAGCCGGGCAGACAGAACCCGTTTCAGTTTGCGTCCCACCGTGCGTTCGTGGTCAGAAAGCTCAAGTCAAAGAGCGAAAGAGAGGGACGCGAAGGAAGATTGAAAAAACAATCCGTGTAACATGGGAACAGACCAGTAAAAAAATGTAGCGCCCAACTTAAGGCTTCAACCAACGACTCTGAGATTAAAAGCCTCATGCTCTACCAACTGAGCTAGCCGGGCAGACAGCATCCGTTTCAGTTTGCTTCATCCCGTGTGTTCATGGTCAGAAAGATTAAGTCAAAGAGCGAAGGAGAGGAAGGCGAAGAATTATTGGAAAACAATTCCTGTAATATGGAAAGAGATCAGAACAAAAATTCAGCGCCCAACGTGGGGCTCGAACCCACGACCCTGAGAAAAAAATTCTCATGCTCTACCGACAGAGCTAGCCGGTCAGACGGGCCCTGTTTCAGTTTGCGTCACCCTATGCGTTCATGGTCAGAAAGTTTAGGTCAAAGAGTGAAGGAGAGGAAGGCAAAGAAAGATTGGACAACAATTCGTGTAACATGCAAACAGCTAAAAAAATGCAGCACCCAACGTGACGCTTAAACCCACGACGCTGAGATTAAAAGTTTCATGCTCTACCGACTAAGGTAGCCTGGCGGACAGTACCCGTTTCAGTTTGCGTCATCCCGTGCGTTCATGGTCAGAAAGCTTAAGTCGCCGAGCGAAAGAGAGGAAGGCGAAAGAACATTGGAAAACAATCCGTGTAACATGGGGACAGATCAGTAAAAAAATGCAGTGCCCAACTTGCGGCTTGAACCAGCGACTCTGAGTTTAAAATTCTCATGCTCTAGCGACTGAGTTAACCGGGCGGACAGTGCCCGTTTCAGTTTGCGTCCTCCCGTGCGTTCATGGTGAGAAAGCTTAAGTCACAGAGTGAAAGGCAGGAAGGCAAAGGAAGATTGGAAAACAATCCGTGTAACATGGGAACAGATCAGAAAAAAATGCAGCGCCCAACTTGGGGCTTGAATTAACGACTCTGAGGTTAAAAGCCTCACGCTCTACCAACTGAGCTAGCTGGTCAGACAGCACCCGTTTCAGTTTGCTTCACCCCGTGTGTTCATGGTCAGAAAGATTAAGTCCAAGAGCGAAGGAGAGGAAGGCGAAGAAAAATTAGAAAACAATTTCTGTAACATGGCAACAGATCAGTAAAAAAAGCCAGCGCCCAACGTGGGGCTCGAACCCACGACCCTGAAATTATAAGTCTCATGCTCTACCAACTGAGCTAGCCGGGCAGACAGCACCCATTTCAGTTTGCGTCACCCCGTGCGTTCATGGTCAGAAAGCTTAAGTCAAAGAGCGAAGGAGAAAAGGCGAAGAAAGATTAGAAAACCTCCGTGTAACATGGGAACAGATCAGTAAAAAGCGCAGCGCCCAACGTGGGGCTCGAGCCCACGACCCTCAGATTAAAAGTCTCATGCTCAACCGACTGAGCTAGCCGGGCAGACAGCACCCACTTCAGTTTGCGTCCCTCCGTGCTTTCATGGTCAGAAAGCTTAAGACAAAGAGCGAAGGAGAGGAAGGCGAAAAAAGATTGGAGAACAATCCGCGGAACAGATCAGTAAAAAAGTGCAGCGCCCAACGTGGGGCTTGAACCCATGACCCTGAGATTAAAGGCCTCCTGCACTACCGACTGAGCTAGCCGGGCAGACAGCACCTGTTTCAGTTTGCGTCCCCCCGTGCGTTCATGGTCAGAAAGCTCAAGTCAAAGAGTGAAAGAGAGGGAGGTGAAGGAAGATTGAAAAACAATCCGTGTAACATGGGAACAGATCCGTAAAAAATGCAGCGCCCAAATTGGGGCTTGAATTAACGACTCTGAGGTTAAAAGCCTCATGCTCTATCGACTGAGCTAGCTGGGCAGACAGCCCCCGTTTATGTTGCGTCACCCCGTCCGTTCATGATCAGAAAGTTTAAGTCAAAGATCGAAGGAGAGGAAGGCGACGAAAGTTTGGACAAAAATGCGTGTAACATGCAAACAGATAAAAAAATTGAGCGACCAACGTGGGGCTTAAACCCACGACCCTGAGAATAAAAGTCTCATGCTCTACCGACTGAGCTAGCCGGGAGGACAGTCCCCATTTCAGTTTGCGTCATTCCGGGCGTTCATGGTCAGAAAGCTTAAGTCACAGAGCGAATGAGAGGAAGGTGAAGAAAGATTGGAAAAAAATCTGTGAAAGATTGGGATGAGAGCAGTAAAAAATGTAGCGCCCAACGTGGGGCTTGTACCCACGACCCTGATGTTAAACGTCTCATGCTCTACCGACTGAGCTAGCCTGACGGACAGTACCCGTTTCAGTTTGCGTCATCTCGTGCGTTCATGGTCAGAAAGCTTAAGTCACAGAGCGAAAGAGAGGAAGGCGAAGGAAGATTGGAAAACAATCCCTGTAACATGGGAACAGATCAGTAAAAAAATGCAGCGCTCAACTTAGGGCTTGAACCAACGACTCTGAGATTAAAAGACTCATGCTCTAGCGGCTGAGCTATCCGGACAGACAGGCCCCGTTTTGGTTTGCGTCACCCCGTGCGTTCATGGTCAGAAAGCTTAAGACAAAGAGCGAAGGAGAGGAAGGCAAAGAAAAATTGGAAAACAATTCCTGTAACCTGGGAACAGATCAGTAAAAAATTCAGCGCCCAACGTGGGGCTCGAACCCACGACCCTGAGAATAAAGTCTCATGCTTTACCGACTGAGCTAGCCGGGCAGACAGTACCCGTTTAACTTTGCGTCATCCCGTGCATTCATGGTCAGAAAGCTTAAGTCACAGAAAGAAAGAGAGGAAGGCGAAGGAAGATTAAAAACAATCCGTGTAACATGGGAACAGATCAGTAAAAAATGCAGCCCCCAACGTGGGGCTTGAACCCACGACCCTGAGATTAAAAGTCTCATGCTCTACCGACTAAGCTAGCCGGGCAGACAGCACCCGTTCCAGTTTGCGTCCCCCCGTGTGTTCATGGTCAGAAAGCTTGAGTCGAAGAGCGAAGGAGAGGGAGGCGAAGAAAGATTGGAAAACAATCCGTGTAACATGGGAACAGATCAGTAAAAAAACGCAGCGCCCAACATGGGCCTCGAACCCATCACCCTGAGACCAAATGTCTCATGCTCTACCGACTGAGCTAACCGGACAGACAGGCCCCGTTTCAGTTTGCGTCCCCCCGTGCGTTCATGGTCAGAAAGCTTAAGTCACAGAGCGAAGGAGAGGGAGGCGAAAAAGATTGGAAAACAATCCGTGTAATATGGGAACAGATCAGTATAAAAAACGCAGCGCGCAACGTGGGGCTCGAACCCACGACCCTGAAATTAAAAGTCTCCTGCTCTACCGACTGAGCTAGCCGGACAGACAGGCACCGTTTTAGTTTTCGTCACCCCGTGCATTCATGGCCAGAAAGCTTAAGTCAAAGAGCGAAGGAGAGGAAGGCAAAGAAAGATTCGAAAACAATTCCTGTAACATGGGAAGAGATCAGTAAAAAAATTCAGCGCCTAACGTGGGGCTCGAACCCACGACCCTGAGAATAAAAGTCTCATGCTCTACCGACTGAGCTAGCCGAGCAGACGGCACCCGCTTCAGTTTGCGTCACCCCGTGCGTTTATGGTCAGAAAGCTTAAGTCAAAGAGCGAAGGAGAGGAGGCTGAAGAAATATTGGAAAATAATCCGCGTGACAAGAGAACAGATCAGTAAAAAATTGCAGCGCCCAACGTGGAGCTTGAACCCACGACCCTGAGAATTAAAGTCCCATGCTCTACCGACTGAGCTAGCCGGGCAGACAGTACCCGTTTCAGTTTGCGTCACCACGTGCGTTCATGGTCAGAAAGCTTAAGTCCAAGAGCGAAGGAGAGGAAGGCGAAGAAAGATCGGAAAACAATCCGTGTAACATAGGAACAGATCAGTAAAATAATGCAGCGCCCACCGTGGGGCTCGAACCCACGACCTTTATATTAAAAGTCTCATGCTATACCGACTGAGCTAGCCGAGATGATAGCATCCATTTCAGTTTGCGTCACCCCGTGCGTTCATGGTCAGAAAGCTTAAGTCAAAGAGTGAAGGAGAAGAAGGCGAAGAAAGACTGGATAACAATCCATGTAACATGCAAACAGATCAGAAAAAAATACAGTGTGGCGTGGCGCGCTTATGTCGCACGTAGCGTGCTTCTGTCCCGAGAAACGCGGTATGCGTTTCCAGCTCTAGTAGCTAGCGTGCACGGTTAAAAATACTATGAAGTGAACAACAACAACAACAACAACAACAACAACAACAACAACAACAACAACAACAACAACAACAACAACAACAACAGCGTTCTCGGCTCGGCGTTGCCATTTTACAGCGGCGTCTCGACAACACATTTCCGGATGTGCCTAGGGGCACCCAGCACCGATCAGTCGAAAGTGAGGCGTGAGCTGACGACTAAGTAGGGCGCTGGGAGGAGAGAGAGGGAACGGTGAGAGAATTAAGGATTGGCGATAGATTGACAGACAGACAGACAGACAGACAGGCAGACAGACAGACAGACAGACAGACAGACAGACAGACAGACAGACAGACAGACAGACAGATAGATAGATAGATAGATAGATAGATAGATAGATAGATAGATGAATGGATAGATAGATAGATAGATAGATAGATAGATAGATAGATAGATAGATAGATAGATAGATAGATAGATAGATAGATAGATATGCGGAGTTTAACATCCCAAAACCACCATGTGGTTATGAGAGACGCCGTTGCGGAGGGCTCCAGAAATATTCACCACCCGGGTTTCCTTCGCGTGCACGCAAATCTGAGTACACGGGCCTACAGCATTTTCGCCTCCACTAAAATTGCAGCCGCCACAGCCGGGATTCAATTCCGCGACCTGGGGGCCAGCAGCCACGTACCTTAGCCACTAGACCATCGCGGCGGGGCAAAGAGCGGCGAAGCACTGCGCCTGTCATTGTACCTGCAGCCATAATGTGAGGCTACACAAGCGCTGGCAGAACAAACGCGTTTCAAGCGCACTAAAATTGAGGTGGTGGTAAGTCACGTTGAAGTCAAGAGGTGGGGGATTAGGTTGCTTGGGATGAGGATAAGCGCGCACGCCCGCAGGTGTCACTGACAGCTGCCGGCGCCCAGAGTAACTTTTTATGATCTCCATACGGTACTCTACCGACGCCGAAGCGTGAAATGGTGGGGGCTCTGGTGGCTAGAGACGCGCGCGCCCGCAGATACTGCTAGGAGAGAGGGCGGTGGATGGATCCCGACGGACGCCTGACATGGCCTGACGAAGAAATGCATTTGCATTAAAAAAATACAGCGCCCAGCGTGGGGCTCGAACCCACGAATCTAAGGCTGTTTCATGCGATACTGACTGTGCTAGCTGGAGTTTTTTTCTTCACCGCCGGCTTTGCACACACACACACACACACACACACACACACACACACACACACACACACACACACACACACACACACACACACACACACGCACACGCACACGCACACGCACACGCACACGCGCACACACACACACACACACACACACACACACACACAAAACTACAAGCACTTAATAACAATTGTAAAGAAACATCAGCCTAGCTGCTACTGGTTTCATTTAAATATGATTCATCGTATAACTAACACGACACGCATTCACGTCATTTTTTGTAGAATTGCATACGTTCCTATGTATGGAATCACAGCCACCTGGATCACCGCACGCGCTGATCCAGGTGGCCGTTGTAGAATCCTCTGCGTGAGGTATCCGAGCACCGATCGGGTTATCGTTATCTATACGTGATGCACAGCCATTCTGGTTCACCACTCGCTGTGAAGCACAAGCAACATGTCGTGGGGACATCATCTTGAATTTACACAGCCATAAATCTGATACTGTATGGTGCGATAGGCAAAACCTTTTTTCGTGGTACGCTGCGAAATGTCCCACGGAAAAATAGCATCTCAATAGTGAAGAAAATAATGGTTGACAGTCTCGGGTTTCTGACATATGGGCAGTATGTCGACCATGGTACAAAATAACACTTTTCATGTAACCATGGTTTTGCCGGCAATATTTCGCTGTGCAGTTGGAAGAAGAATGCCTTTGCGCTTGCGAGCATGGTCACAATTGTTACCCCCTTTAGTACGTCACGTTCAGCGCCTCTTCCCGCCCCTTTACAACACGATATATTGATCTATAGTTAGCTCAGGCAATATTATGTCACGTAAATACCTGTAAAGATGCTTTCTCGATGCAACGAATACTATTTTCATTGAAAATCGCACTTTCAATACTTTAGACCATTTTAAGTTTCTCAAGTATCCACGTAGGTTATATTTTAAAGACATATTTGATAACACATGATCAGGAATCTTATTGCAGAGTAGAATGTGCATAAACGTGCTCAGAAAAGTGTTACGTTAGTCAAATCAAAAATACTTTCAAACTCTATTTGATTTATCAAAACACATTCGCTGATTTTATGCCACCATTTCTTGAAGAATGGGATAATTTTGTACGTCTCGTACGCTTCCGTACCGACCCCCCCCCCCCCCCCGCAAAAAAAAAAAAACACCTCCATCATTGTAGGCAATTTTTGTACATGTGCTTTTGACATAAATAGGAACTTATACCATACCATACTTAGCAAACAATTAACCAATTACAAGCAGTTGCTCTAGAAAACATAGAAAGTTCCCCACCACCCCAGCTTCGAGTCTTTTATGAGTACTTTCACGTACTTCCTTCCATCTAATTATTTCTGCCCCTGTAGTGCTGCGAAGGTACTCCATCGTATTTATATAGTTTGTACAAGTGCAATGTCTCATGTGTGCGTATTTGGTACATATTTGCAAAGTTTTGTGGGCTGGTCTCCCAGGAACCATACCACAAGCCTGGATATTTATCCCAGTTTACTGAACTACCTGATTGATTGATTTGTGGGGTATAACGTCCCAAAACCACCATTTGATTATGAGAGATGCCGTAGTGGAGGGCTCCGGAAATTTTGACCACCTTTGGTTCTTTTACGAGCACCAAAGTTTGAGTACACGGGCCTACAACATTTCCGCCTCCATCGGAAATGCAGCAGCC